AAAGAAAAAAAAAAAAAAAAAAAAGAAATTTGAGACTACCCTGGGCAACACAGTGAGAACCCTGTCTCAAAAACAAAGGAAAAATGGGGGGAAAGAAAAGCTAGATGCACCCTTGAAGACTGTGTTTTCTTTTTATTATTTTTACTTACTCATATTTAAGAACTTTTCTTTTGAGACAGGGTCTTGCCATAGGGAGACTACGTATAGTTCAGATTAGCCTTGAACTCCAGTTCAAGGCCATCCTCAAGTACAAAGTGAGTTCAGGGTCAGCCTGCCCTACACCATGAAACCCTCCTCAAAAACAAAACCAAACCAGTACAATATTATAAAACTAATAGCATTTGGCACATTAACAGCAAAGAAGAGACACTGCTGCTTCTCACAACTTACTTTCCAGGCACTATGCAGTACTATGGAAACTTACTGCATCCCAGCAGGCTAGTTACTGAAAGTGGCTATAGTGGGAATACTTCGAAAAGCAAAACCATTACTTACCAAAATCTCAAAAAGGAGTGCTAGTAACTTATTATTAGCCATGAAGTTACTGTCCAAAACACCCAAGTTAAACCAACTTCCCAAACAGCGAAAGACCTTCATAAGCATTTTCTCATCAGTTCCCGCCTTTTCTACACAGGTCATCTGAATAGAAAGAACAAAGTTAAAACAATGTCAACCACTTTACAAGTATAATAAAAAGGACAAGAACAATAACAACAGCTAAAGTTGGCAGTGCTTTTGTACAAAACACTGTAGATACCATTAATCCATGTATTCCCAAACAAATCCCCGTAAGTTGGTACGGTACTATTATCTCTCCTTTAACAGGAAAATTGAGATACAGAGATAATAAACATGTTTTAGAAACTTTCTTTACAAATAAGTTACTAGGTTGTTTAGTTCACACTTTTCCATTATCAATAAAACTGATTGATTGATATTTTGAGATAGGGCCTTCCTCTGTAGTTCAGGCAGGCTTTGAACTCACTAGGTAGCCCAGGGTAGCCTCAAACTCACAGTGATCATCCTGCTGCAGCCTCCTAATTGCAGGGATGACAGGTGTGTCAGCACATCCAGCAATATAACTGCTTTAAAAATAAGATTTATGCGCTTATGCACCTGGTTTTCCTAGAATACAAGTAGGTAGGCCACATGAAAACCTTCAGCATGTGAATATTCTAGTAAATATGTCAACTCACAGAAAATGACACTATTATAAATATTATCAAAGAGATGTAAACAGAAATCAGACTAAAACTCATCACCACTTTTCTCTGCAAACTGTTTTTGTGATGTATTACTTTTACCAAAGTGAAGTGTCACCCATTTTCTAGATAAGAAATGTTTCAAAAGGGATATAGGTGACTGGCAGAATGTTTGAATAGCATGTGCAAGGCCCTAGGCTCAGTCAGTAGCACTGAAAGAGTGGGAACGGCATAAAAGCTTTTACAGGCAGTGGGTTCCAAACATAACTGCTACAGATTCAAGAGGCATGGGTGTTGCAGCTTGTGTCTAGATGTCCCCTCAAAGCCTCAGGCAGTCAAAGGAGGGGCTTTTTTGAGATGGCTGAATCTAGAGTGTATGCTGCTGGGATTAAGGGTATGTGATTACTAAATTAGTCCACTGATTGGTTTTGTACAGTTCTGCTTCAATTAAGGTGTGTTGGTGCTACACACCTTATGGGTGGTAGCCTGGACAAGAAATAAAGGAAAGAGAGTCACTGCTTGTCACTTACTTGCTGCCTTCTGCCTGCCATGAACTGTTTCTGCTCTGTGATGCCCCTCTGCCATACCACCCTAGCTTGGAGCCAGCCAACTAGGAACAGAAACTGCAACAAATTGTAAGCCAAATACACCTCCTTTAACTTTAGGTGTCGGGTATTTTGCCTTAGCAACCAGAATAGTAACTAAAACGATGAGGTATAAGGGCAGGGTGAAATACTCTAATGTACTATCAAACCAGATCTAAAGGCTGGTGCTTGTACTTCTAGGTAGGCCTATGTTTGCATTGTCAGGCAAGAATGATATATGATTCTTCAATTAGTTTGGATTACATTTAACTGGACTGAAATAAAAAAAGCAAAGAAATGACTCAAATAAGTTAATGACAATCACAGTCTAAAGAGTAATTTTGTGGCCATGTTTATATCACAAATATAAGCAATACAGGAAAATCCTCCAGATATAAAGCTTCCTGTATCATACAAGTACACTCAAAAGAACTGTTTCATTACTGTCCTCCAAGGATTTTTAGACTGCTTGCAAAACTGAATAGAAGTGAGGAGTTAATATGTGACTATATTCTTCCTTCAATCTCACAGGACACAGTATTAAAGATACTAAGGTCTCGAAAAGTATAAAAAAAATTTTTTTTTTTAATCAACCCCTTCTTTTTCTATATATATTATGGTACTGTGGATGCAACCTAGGCCTTTGCATTAAACTACATACCCAGGGATTCCCACCCTTGCCCCATCTACCTTTTGGAGCCAAGGTCTTGCTAAGTCTCTAAATTGGCTGGGCTAGGCTCAAACTTCTGATCTTCCTGCTTCAGCCTCCCACAATGCTTCAATTACAGGTGTGGGTCATCACAGCTGACCTATACTTATAATTGAAGCTTTTCTCCTAAATCATAAAAAATGGAAGAAGGAAGTACAAGTATATAAACATACTTGTTTTTAAAATTTTTTGGTCTCTTCTTAGAGGGAAAGCAATATACAAATAAATACATAGGCTGACTAATCATTATAACTAACATTTACTGAGTTCTCAAAATTTCTGACACTTTAAAAGCTTTACATGTATTAATTCACTTAATTCCCACAAAAACGGGATACTATTATCTCCATTGTATAAACAGGAAACTGAGGCAGAGGGGTTAAGTGATTTGCCCAATAAGGCAGAGTTAATAAAGAGCACAATCAGGACTCAAAGTTAGAAGCATGGCTTCAAAGTCTATGATATTAGCTACAACATCACAGCTACCTCTGAGATATATATCTATATATTTTCCAGGATTTCCTATATTCAAGAATAACTAAAGGCTGGCAGCAGTGGTGTATGCCTACAGTCCCAATTACTTGGAGGCTGAGACAGGAAGATCATACATTCAAGGCAGCCTGGCAACTCAAGGAGATCCTATCTCAAAATAAAATACAAGTCATGCATAGTGATGCAAGCCTATAATCTGAGACCTTGGAAGACTGAGGCAGGAAGTTCATTACGAGTTCAAGACCAGCCTGAACTGCATAGTGAGACCCTGTCTCAAAAACAAAACAACATCAACAACAGAAAGGGCTCTGCACACATATGCACCAGACATGGGCACACTCAAACTTTACTCAACATAAAGGGACTGGCAGATCCTAATACAGTTAAAATGGATGACTTCAATATCCCCCTTTTACCAATGAGGTCATTCAGACCAATAAAACAACAAACAAAGCCCTACAAAGAAACATCAAGTTAAATACACTACTGACTAAATGGACTTAACAGACATCTATGGAGTATTATATCCAAAAACAGCATTCTTTTCATCATCTCACAGAACTTTCTCTAAAACAGACCATACCATAGACCACAAAGCTAATCTTAAAAAAAAAACCCGCATCCTACCAGATTAACAATAGACTAAAATTAGGAATCAACTAGAGACATCAAAAAAAAAAAAAAAAAAAAAAAAAACAGTGATTCATGGGTCACTGAAGAAACCAGCACACAAATTAAAACTTCCTAGAATCAAACTATAACGGAAATACAACATAGTAGAATCTGTGAGATACAATGAAGACCGTTCTAAGAGAGAAGTTTATAGCTCAAGTGCTTATATTTATTTACCATTTATTTATTGGTGGTGCTAGGGATCAAACCCAAGGCCTTGTGTATACAAGCCAAGAGCTCTACCTCTAAGCCACATCCCAGCCCAAGTGCCTATATTCAAAAAGCTGAGAGGCCTAAAATAACCTAATGATGTATTCCATGATCTTAGAAAAAGAGAACAAGTCAAACTCAAAACAGAGGCCAGAAAACAACAAAAGATTAGAGCTGAAATTAATGGAGACTAAAAAAACACACACACAAAAACCCAATGAAACAGACAGAGCAGGTTGTAAGCAAAGATAAAAATGATGGATAAAACCTTAGCCAAACTAATCAAAAGAATGAGAAAACTTAAATTAAAAATTAGTAGAATAATTCAATGGCATAGTGCCTGCCTGGCAAGCACAAGGTCCTGAGTTTAATTCCCAGTACCATTAAGGAAAAAAAAAAAAATTAGAGACAAAAAGATAATATTGACACCACAGAACAGACACCACACAGAAGTTCAGAGGATTATCAGGAACTACTTTGAAATATACATTCTTTTATTTGTTTATTGTTTTTGCGGTACTGGGGATTGAACTCAGGACTCTGCAGTTGAGCTATCTCCCTGGCCCTTGAAATATATATGCTAAAAAGAAAAATTATATATATTCTTTTTTTTTTTTTTTTTTTTTTTTGAGGAACCGGGGATTGAACTCAGGCCTTGCACTTGACAGGGAAGCACTTATCCTACTGAGCAATCTCCCTGGCCCTATATAGTCTAATAAATTAGAAAATCTAGACAAAATGGATAAATTTCTAACACACATGACTTACTAAAATTGTATTAAGAGAATATATATTGATCCATCAATAATGAATAAGAAGATTGACAAAGAAATGTCCAGGACCAAATGGATTTACTATAGAATTTTACCAGGCCTTTAAAGAAAAACTAACTCCAGTGTTCCTCAAACTATCCCATGAAATAGAAAGGCAATGCATAGTTTCAAATTCTTTGTATGCAGTCAGTATTAATCTGATACCAAAACTGGATAATGACTCTACAACAAAAAACCTACAGGCCAATATCCTTGGTAAGTATAAACACAAAATCTCTCAATGAGATTTTTGCAAAAAGAATTCAACAACAGTTTAAGTATAATACACCACATAAATAGCATCAGGATAAAAATCACAGGATCATCTCAATAGAAGCAGACAAGTCCTTTGACAAAATTCAACACCTCGGGGCCAGGGAGATAGCTCAATAAAATAAGCACCTGCCTAACAAGCGCAAGGTCCTGAGTTTCATCCCCAGTACTGCAAAAAATTCAACACTCCATCCTGACAAAAACCCTGAAGAAACTACATATAGAAAGATATCCATATGTATAAGATTGAAACTAGACCTCTTAACCTATATAAAAATCAATTCGACACGGTTCAAAAAACTAGGTACAAGATCTGAAACTGCTGGGGCTGTGGCTCAGTGATAGAGTCCTTGGCCTTGCATACATAAGGCCCTGGGTTTGATCCCCAGAAGCACAGGCACACAGGCACACACACACACACACACACACACACACACACACACACACAAAGCTGGATATGGTGGCTCATGCCTGTAATCCCCTCACTTAGGAGGCTGAAGCAAGAGGATCACTGCAAGCTGGAGGTCAGCTTGGGCTACGGAGTGAATTCAAGGCCAGCCAGGACTACAGTGAGACCCTGTCTCAAAGGAAAGAAACAAGGAAAGAAAATTTTGGAAACACCTAGAAAAAATACATAGGTGAAACAACTGAAGCCATCACACAGGCAAAAGCTTCATGAATAGGG